TTTCCTGAAGTCAAGGACTTCCATGTTGCTGACTGACTTCCAACTTTACTTAGTGATAGTGTTTTTAGTCAACTGTGCAACTAGATACGCAAACTTTAATCAGCTTAAATCATAACATTTTATTTGACATGTATTCTTCTTTGCTTTAAGATTGAAGATGCTTTTGTGGCAGCAGAAGAGATTGGCTACCCAGTCATGATACGCTCTGCTTATGCCCTGGGTGGGCTGGGATCAGGTATATGTCCTGACAAAGAAAGTCTGCTGGACCTGGGTACCAAGGTATGTCTGCAGTTGATAGTAGTAGGGATCAGCTGTTTGATTAAAGATATTCTTGTAACAGTCACAAATCAATCTATTACATATACTACACATTTTACCTCCTTGTCAAAACATTATCTGGATTCTCTCTAATGCCCTGATCATCATCATACTTGCTACTGATTTCACTAACATGAATAATGAAATGACATCGTCCACCACTGTTAGTTTCTCTCAGAAACTGGTCATAATTTGAGCAAATGTTGCAGCAATTTTGCTAAAAAAAGAAGCAAAATGGCCTGTTTTCTCTTGCTCTCAGTGGCAAGTGTCACAAGGAAGAAACCTGGCAAGTGAAAATCCTTATCAAGCTTAGCTACCAGAAAATGCCAGGAACTGAGTGACAAAGATCAGATTTTTATGTAGCTGAATCTCAGAGGAGGTATTTGTGCTGGACCAGAAATCTAGCAGGAATCCTAGCAGGATTCAGCTCTACAGATTTATATAAACAAGCCCTATTGGTCAAAAATGCTGATTTTTTCCCCCCTTTCTTTAGGAGATACAGTTGTGGGGTTTTTCCCTCACATGGAAATGAGGTAGAAATTTTTTGTTGTAGATGAGACCTGGGTTAGGGCCAGCACTTAAGTTGTAGCTGAAGGTAATGCCAGTGGTGTATCTAGGGCAGGGTGATGGGGGCAACTGCCTAAGTTGCCAACCAGTCGGGGGGTGGAACAAAAAAAAAAGTCTTTTAATGCAGCAGCACAATTGTGACCATAGTGGCAGTGGCAACAAGAAGCCAACACTGGCTGTGTGCAGCAGCTGTCACAGGTGCCCGGCTGTGTTCTTACGGTTCTGGGTAAGAACACTGCCACCCTGACCATCTGATTTGTGGGAAACAAGTAAAAAGACTGGACTGTGTCACACCATAATTTTGGTTTTGGAAGCCCAGATCCTTCACTAACATTAACAGGAGCTCCAAGAAGTCACATTGTAACATATTGAAACCCTATCCTAAAAGAAGCATGGTTGGCTGTTATAATGCTACATCCAAACTTGCAATGTAGACAGCCTTAAGTAACTTAACTTGAGGCTGCTGATTTCAGAGCAGGGAGGGGAGTTTATTGACAGAAGAACTGAGTCATTTTAATATTTTCAGTGAATTTAACAAATATCCTATAATTGTTAGTCCATATGGACAAAGTTTATGTTATATTCTTTCACTTTCTTGATATATTTGCAGTTTTGCCTAGTGTATTGAAGAATACTTTTGGGATTAGTTTTAGAGTAGGTCAGAATGCCACATTGAGCACAGAATTGTTATTAGTTTAGTTTAGCATTTTCTGCAAGCACCAATATCATCTCCTTTTACGTGGGTACACATTTAACTTTCTATAAAAAAAAATAGTCCTATTGAAGCCAATGGGTGTATCTACATATGCTATTAGTACATAGCAATAAACGCTGGCGTACAATTCATTGGAGTTTATTGCTCCCAGGCACTGTGTCTTCATGTGCACCTGGAACCTCAGCACATTGAACTGTTTGGAACAGCTCTGATTGGCAGGGAGCATGGGGGATCAGCCTGCTAGCCCAGGGCTGCTCTGACCTGGCTTGACATGCTGCGGAGGGGCTGGCTGGGGCATGAGGGTGCTTCAGTGTGGGGCTGGCTGGCAGGCAGCCTGTGTGCTGAATCACCCTTGTGCCCCAGCCAGCCCTGTCAGCATCTATACATGTGTGGCTGCCTACTAAAGAACTCTGCCACAGGATAGTACTTGTATTTACAAGTACTGTCCTGTAGAGGAGCTAATTAGGCAGCTCTGCAGTAAATGTCTTATGTAGATGTGCTCACTGAGACTACTTGCATATATAAAATGGAAAATGGCTGTAACCGGCCCCAGGATCAAAGCTTTGTATTTTTATATTTAGATTAATAATATATATTCTGTTGTCCAGCTATCAAGGTTACTTCATGTGTTACCTTTATTTCTATGATGTTACACCAAGATTTTGGGAAGAATTTAAATTAGGTGCTATGATATCATATTTTACAATTTTTATGTTGGGACATCTTGAAATTCATCAAAAAAACCTTTAATGTGAGAGTGGGCTACATTAAAGTTCTGCTGCACATGTTTAATAAAAATGCATTTCCTATTCTTTTCTACCATCTGTCCTTTCTAATGTTTCTAAAACCTGATTTGCAGGCCTTTGCAATGACCAGCCAAATTCTAGTGGAGAAGTCAGTAGTTGGCTGGAAGGAGATAGAATATGAAGTAGTAAGAGATGCTGCTGATAACTGTATTGCTGTCTGTAATATGGAAAATGTTGATGCCATGGGAGTCCACACAGGTAAGTTTGCTGTAGATCACAGTATAGCACACTGTACATTGCTTTTAGATCAACATTTTCATACATGCTCTTTCTTCTTAGTGCAGGTGATATACTTATCTGGCCAGCAATATAGAATGCAGAATTCTATCACATTTAGATTAAGAGTATTATTGGGTAGGCTGCAAAATGGTTTCAATAGGCTGAGACTTTCCAAAGTATCTCACATTTCACAAGGTAGCATAGGTAATGTAGTCTCATCAGAAGCTAGTACTGTGCCCTGAAATGCCCATACTTGGCAACTTCCACAGCACTTGCAGTTTGAAAAGCATGTGTCATTTCCTAAGATACAGTCAGTTAGTAGTAATGTGACCCCAGTACCCTGAATTATTATTATCAAACTCTTTTGTTTTTTGTTTCAACAAATAGGAGATTCTATTGTAGTAGCTCCAAGCCAGACGCTCTCCAATGAGGAATTTCAGATGCTGAGGGAACGTGCCATCAAGATTGTCCGCCACTTGGGCATTGTGGGAGAATGTAACATCCAGTACGCCCTGCATCCCACCTCTCTGGAGTACTGTGTCATTGAAGTAAATGCCAGGCTCTCAAGAAGCTCTGCCTTGGCATCCAAGGCTACAGGGTAAGGTAGGACATAAGGACATAAGGGGTAGGAAGAGGAGTACTTGAGTCAGAGTTTGGTTGCTGTGTACTACAAATGGAAAAGCTCTTAGAAGTGAAGACTGTTAGATCTCTTTATACAGTACATCACCGGCATCTATATGTTGGCTGCAAATAATCTCTGAGGCCCTAAGGATTTAGTTATTAATGAGCTGTCTGCCAGGTTGAAGCAAATGGTATTGCTAGCTGCTTTTGTTTTGATGGCTAATCAAACTAATCAAGGCAAAGGGTGGTCAAAGTTGGCTGTATAAAAATTGGCTTCTTAATTGCACTTTACAGATGCTGTTGAGAAGTGCAAATTAATCTTTAATTTGCAGTTTTCAACAACTTGTGCAGTTGTTGAAGCCCTGTAGCAAACTGGAGACAGGCCACAATAACTGGCAGTGGGCATTTCATTGTTTCACTTTAAATAACTGAATGCTATGAAACGCATCTGTTTTTGATATGTGTCTCAGCATGTATAATATATTTAAAACAGTAGCACTGGATAAATATCATGCGTTCTACACTGGTATAGCTTTGTACACATTGCAGTCCTGTAGCTACTGAGAACTCCGGTATTTCCCTTTGCTTCCCTAGGAGTTGACGGCAACAAGTATACATTTTGATTTGTTTCCTTGTCTGGCAGAAGGCCTAGAGCCCAGAGATTACAGGACTTTCACGAGGCCATGGAGCAAGCCTGTCCTGGGACCAAGCATCAAACCCAGACCTCCTGACTTGGAGTCCTTAATCACAAGGGTGCTCTTAATAGCGAATTCCTACCTCAGCCCTCTGAATCTACCACATTATGAGTTATACATTGCATCGGGGAGTCTTGCTGTTCCCGGATGAGTTATACTTGCATGCTGGGTGCCAGGAACGAAGACATTTTGCTGTAGAATATGGTTAATAATTTTATTGAAGCAGCTTTGGAGGATTGTAGTTTTGCTTGCCTCCTGCTTTACAAACCACAATAATAAAAATTGCTTCTCTTCCTTTCTTTCCCTCCCATCTCTGCTAGGTACCCATTAGCATTTATTGCTGCAAAAATTGCCCTAGGGATTCCCTTACCAGAAATCAAGAATGTGGTGTCAGGAAAAACTACTGCCTGTTTTGAGCCCAGCCTGGATTACATCGTTACCAAGATACCCCGCTGGGACCTTGACCGCTTTCAGGGCACCTCCAGCCAGATTGGAAGTTCCATGAAGAGTGTGGGAGAGGTGAGTGGGCAGCACCTCTTCCCATTGCCCTTCCAGCTTTTGTCAAATTTGCTTTTCTCTCTGGTCCCCCTCAGGTTGCTGTTTCTTTTAGTATGGCAGAGGGATTTAGGATTGATTGAAAGGGCCAGTCTTCTGTAGGTGCTAGCTTTGCATCCAGTTTTGTGCTAATTTTCTATTGGTGTTGCATGTGAGGAAGTGCACTTTGTTGTGGGTGTAGATGACAGTATTTAGACAGTAATTGAGAAGATTCTGCTCACTAATCAGGTAGTTAGATGTCTAAATGTTAGCATTTATTAATTGCCTCCAGCTGATTTGAGTGCAAAATTAAAGGCAAACAGGCACACATTTAAAAATGAGTCTCAGAACATCCATACCTTCCATACAAAGGGTCCACTAGGAATCAGTTAACTAAGCTGCAAATAAAATAAGAATTCAAACCAGCTAGCATCCTCAATACAAACCAAACCTGGCCCTGAACCTCAGACAGATTTTTTTTATTATTGTAATTGCTTTGTCAGCATTATGCATTACACATGCCTTAGCTTTTCCTGATTCTCCATGAAAATGCCATTAGGGTGTTACCAGGTTGATGGAAGGAAATTTCTTTTAAAAAATTGATCTATTTAGCTTTTCAGCTTAAATTGATCCAGATTGTTTGGATAAGCACTCAGCCTTCTGAGTGCTTATTCAAAGCAGCTCAGTTTTACACATTATTACTTTCAGTTAGAACGATTTAGGAGTCATCAAATGACATTATAAACAATAGTGTAGAAATCGGCCTGGGATATTCATAGGTTTATAAGGTCAGAATGGACCACTAGCCTGAACTCCAATCATCTAGTCTGAACTCCAAGATAGACCACAGGACTTCTCCATATTAACCTCTATTTTAAGTCCAAAAACAGTGTTTGAAATAGAATATATCTGTTAGAAAAAGCATCCAACAATAATTTAGAGACTTACAGTGGTACAGAATTCTCCACCATGCTTTTAAATTGTTCCAATGGAGAATTATCATACCTGGTAAAAATGTATTCTTTAATTCTAGTCCCATATTGACCCTGAAAACCAAACTGAAAACCTAATGCCTTCTTTTAATGTATCAAGTTTTTTTTTAAATTTTCAACAATTTATTTCCCTTTTGGAGTATATTTTATAGGCCTGTTAAAGTGAGAACAAAACACTGTGACTTTTAAAATCAGATTTTAAGGCCATCTGGGGCAATCATGACATCCTTAGCTAAGTTTTCAAGTGCAAGGAAATGATCTAAAATGGGCAAATTATCCATTTAATTAGTAAATTACCTATCAACCACTAAAGTAAAATAATGAATTATTTTTTTTGTCGTCTGTCTTCTTTCTCTGAATGGTTTCCAAGTAGCTATTTTACTCAATTATTTTGACACTTGAGACCTTTCTAACATCAGTTCCACCTCACGCAAACAAACAGCCCTCATTACAATTGAAAGGATTAATTGGAACTGAAATGGCTTGCTGTGGTGATCATAGTTTCAATAAGACATGGTGTATAAGATTTCAGATAAGTTGAGGCCTGCAAGTTTTATAGTTTTAACTCCCTATGCCTTTGTTTCATGCATATCAGGCCAGTTGATAACAGGGTGATATTCCAGAGTGTCTTGCCATGTCAATAGTGAATGGGATTGCAACTGCGTAGGTGACTAAGAACACTTTCTCCCTTTATGCTCCTTCCCAGGCTTTGGGGTTCAAATGCACATGAGCAAGTGTAGGTGGGTAGGGTGGACTTGAGGGATCTGGTCCTGGCTCCTTCCATAACAATCTCTGACAAGCATGAGTTGGAGAGCATCTCAGCTAAGATAAGCTGACTTTGGATGGTTTGGGAAGGGATGTTGTGATTCACTGTTGGTATAAACACTTAGATTTTTTGACACTGATTACACACTGGTTGTGATTCTGTTACCTCTACACTGTGGACACATAAGCATTTGCATATAGACTGAGCATGTGCAGTATATTACAGATTGGCAAGGGCTATACACAACTATACACCCTGGTAGAAGGGGAGGAGAGGGCCCTTCCATGTTTTAGTCCTAATAACTGAGGGGTTAGGGCACTTACCCAGGAAACAGGAAACCCAGGGAGTCTATACACATGCTCGTGTGGTGGGGGGAAGAGGCACTTTAATTAAAGTGCCCAGAGCGTCTTGTGTATCTGCTTCAAAATAATGGTGGGGGTGCTTTATCTAAAGCGCCCCTGTGCCCATTTTGAATCGTGGGGATGCTGATACACAAGATGCAGAGGCTGGCTGAAGCATGGTAATTACCATGCCGCAGCAGACTCAATTAATCGAGCCTGCTCTGAGGTGTTGTAATTATAGTGTGTTGGAGCAGCCTCCGCGCTCATATATAGACACCCTTAGATTCTAGATCTTCTTTGCCCAAAGATCATTTGAACCTGTATCTCTCTGACTTGTAGCACAGCACTCTAGCCACCATGCCACAGATTAGGCATTATATAGTCCTTTCTCCAGTGCTCAATTTGAAGCTGAGCCACAGCCCTTACATTAAGTAGTCATTAGATAAAATGGACAGAGAACAGTGTGCTGCACAAGTCCTGTTGGGAGAAAAGGTCAGTGCTAGAACCCAGGACATTCACCTTTCAAAAGCAGTCATCTCACTGAGTCACATACTCTCCAGCTTGTTCCTTCTTCTGGCCCCAGGTATCTCCCCCCCACCTTGGTTGCACAAGGGGCCACCTTCTAAAGAGTGTTGGAGAGGGGTCTAACTATGTCCTAGTCATTAGAGAGCTTTCAGGAAATCAGAGAAGCCCCTCTGGGTGGGAGGCACCTAGAACCTTGCTCTATTGCTTCCTCGGAAATGTCCCTAATCACTTAGGCTGCCTATACACATACTTGGGGAGGGGGGAGGGTGGTGGCAAATGTTAATTACAGTGGTTTCCTGACAGCACCTCTAATTAAAATGCTGCAGGAACACATGTATTAAGGACTTATGCACTTAAAAATGGCCACAGGACACTTTATCTAAACCTTATTCAATGAGGTTTAGTTAAAGTGCTCTGTGGCCATTTTTAAACACACAGGGGCTTAATACACATGGTGCTGTAGTGAGTGACGCTGTGGCATTCTAATTAGAATGTGGAACAGACCCCATTATTCGAGTCTGCTCCGACATGTTCTAATTATAATACCAATGAGCACACGTATAGGCAGTCTTAGCTACTAGAAATAAAATGCTGGAAGGCCCTTCCCTTTTTCCTCTCTCTCCTACCCATTCTTCCCCACATAGTCATGTTTTTTTCTTCAGCTACATTTTTGTGACCTACATGCACTTATGCATCCACAATGTCCACATATTCATAGCTATGTACTTGCTTGGCTTGTGCATGGCCAAATGCATGTGATCAATTTACATGTACATGCTTACGGGTCCATAGTGCAGAGAAAACAGAATCACAAATTTTGTGTGTAGTGCCAAAAAATGCCACTTCCACAGCAGGAAAACTGCTATTTAGGCTCACAGAGTATAATAGAAATCTGCCACTAGCAAATTCCTAGACTCGTCTTTGAGTCTCAATGCTCCTGGTAGCTGTTTCTGTCCTAGTGCAGTTTAGGTACCTCCCGAGGCCTGTACCTAAATCATTCTAGCCCCTGCTGTGTTTTTATTAATTGACCTGTCTAGCCTCAGCCTGACTATAGTTGAGCTGTGCTGTGACTGCCTGCAGTCTCAGAGCAGCAGAGCTGTGTGAACGGGGAGATTTTTACGTGAAACTTTTACCATTTTGTTTCAGAAGACTTTTGTGCTTTTAAGCTTTTACTTTCTTAGGAAATAAAAAGCAAGTGGTTAATGGGATCCTTTGACTTGCACAATTTCCACAAAAAATGGGCTCCTTTCTTTTGGAAATGGGGGTCGTTTTCATGTTTGGAAACAAGGGCAGAGGAGGAGATGTGGTATCGCTGTCCTCTTCTTAAAGCAGAGCCTTAAAATTCTATCTGTCCTTGTGGGGACTTCTGATTCTGCAGGCTGTTAAAAAATCACTCCCTTTCCTGGATCCAAAAACATTTTACAAATGAGGCCACTATCACTATTCTCAGTTAACTGAGTGGAGAGAGGGAGGTATAAGGTGAAGACATTGCCCAAGGCTGTTCAGTCACATAGGCTAGGATAGAGTCCTGGGTTCCTGAGTCCCACTTCAGTGCTCTGTCATTAAGGACTATGATCTTTTTTTTATGAGTCAGTTCATTATGTCCTTTGGACATTCATGGTGCTTTATGCTTGAAGAATAAGCATAGTTACTCTGAAAATAATAAAGAAGGGCAACAACTTATCATTTTAATGCAAGAGCTTTCATCATTACAGGTCATGGCTATTGGACGCACCTTTGAGGAGAGCTTCCAGAAGGCCCTGCGAATGTGCCATCCCTCTGTTGATGGCTTCACATCATCTCTGCCAATGAATAAAGACTGGCCAACCAATTTAGACCTCAAGAAAGAACTGGCAGAGCCGTCCAGCACTCGTGTTTATGCAATGGCCAAGGTAATGGTCAAGAGGCAGGCATGATGTATGTCTGTTGATTTTATTTACCAGATTTGTTTCCTGAGGCAATGGAATAGAATATTTAATGGGTGTCCTGCTTTCCTTCCTTCTGCCCCTCATTTGGGAAGGGCTGATATCATGCTGTGTTGAATTACCTCCTGCAAAGATTCTTTTTTATCTGTAATGCCTCTGCTAGTGCATTATACCAGGATGAGGAAAACAAACAAAAAAACTTTCACTATAGATTCTTAGGACACCTCATACTTCCATTAATCTTTAACGTCTAATAACTAAAATTTTAACCACATCTCTTATGTTGAACAGGTACACCTACTTCCATGGCCTTGGTAACATAGAGATCAGTCAAACAGTTTCTACTGGTTGAACAACAGAGTACTTTTTAAATTTAGATTGCTCCTGTAATGCAATCATTTACTAAATGCTGGCCAACATTCAGCCCTTATCTGGGCTGGCATAAATGAGAATAGCATTTGGCCACTTCTGCAACTTATATTAGTGTATGCAAAATAAAGGAAAAAAGATGCCTTTGACAATTGAAACTAAGCATGATATAAAAAATGGTTGGTTTCAGTCGAGCTGAGAAGTCTCTTTTTGCACTATTAATTTTGTTACACGACCACAGCTTACAACCAGAAGATGTAATTAAAATTAAAGCCTATTGTAAGCTCAGCTCTTCAGAAGTCTGTCCTTTTTGGAATAGGGATAAATATACTAATTGTCCTGAAATATTTGTTCAGATACTTATATCTGTGGCTGGAGCAGTATAATATAATTGTGATTAAGGCACTAGATTTGGGCTTGAGATTTAGTAGGCAGTTTCCAGCTCTGTTACAGATTTCCTGGGCTTTGGGCAAGTCACTTGATCTTTCTGACTTATAGACAGTCTAGTTTCATTGTTGTCAATGTCTCTAATAAGTAAATCTACACTGTGCTCTGCAATAGTGAGTGGAGATACCTGAACTAGTTCCTGTACTTGAAGTAGTTTAGCTGTTATAGCATGGAGTTCCCTGGGGTGTGGTTTATCCTGCTTCTCAGGTAAATTAGCTTGCATGGAGCTGCATACTGCAGTAGCTAGGCTGCCTTCAGTACCTAAGATAATACAAGTATCCTCACACTACATTGCATGGTGTAGGTTATGTCTTAAAATGCTTCTGATACAGCATACCTCTCCTTGGACTTTAACCTTGTCATGGTGGAGAGGCTTGTGTGTTCCAGTGACCCTCAGAGCTATGTTGTCTGGAGTCTTGTACTCCTAGTAGTGTCTCTCCTGGTGAACAGATCTGAGGTGATGTCTCCTGAAGACCCCAATGGCAGAACAGACTTACTTGAAGATCTGTTGGTTCTCTGTGAGTGTGAAGGCAGATGAGGGCTGCAGCAGGATGGAGGTCTGTGGTTGTCTTGGACATCCTTGCCACTGGGTTCAGGGCTCCCTCTTGTCAAGGTTGTGTGTTTGTTGCTTGCACACTGGCTTCCCCACATTAAAAGATGTCACGTGCAGGCCTCTGCCGGGGATGTTAACATCTCCCACAAACCAAGTCCTGCAGCAGTGGTTTAATGGTGATAGGGACATGAGCAGTGATTTCTGGGAGTCCTTAGTCACAAATCTGCACATAGGCAATGGTTGTGTGATGGTCGTTTTGCACTGACTGAGACAGAAGAACAATTTGGCAGCTGTGATTGTAACTGAGCTAGTCCTGTTTTGGATCCCCTCTGCTCACCCTGACTGGGAAAGGGGCTAGAAAAGGTGCTCTAAACCTAGGTGGTCTGAACCCCCCCAGCTGGATTGCCGCATCTAGTGGGATCACTCTACTTGTAGCTGAAACCAACCAAATAAAGTACTGAAGTTTGCCACATAGAATGTCTGCACTCTCATGGACTCCCTGAACAGTGAGTGTCCCGAAAGAAGAACCACCATAGTAGCTAGAGATGTTGCTGCCCTAAATGAGACCAGCTGGGCAGATGAAGGCAAGCTGAAAGAAGAAGAAGGTGGCCACACATTTTTTGGAAATGAAAGTCACCTGAAGAGAGACACATTCACAGGGATGACTTTGCCATGAAGACAAGATTGCCAGCTAGCTTTCAGGAACTCCCTGTGGGCCTTAATGAACACCTTATGACTCTCCACCTCAAGCTCAGTAAGAACCAGTATACTATGGTCATCAGTGCATGTGTCACCATACTTGATGATGAAAAAGTCAACAAGGAGCAGTTCTACTGTGCTCTTGACACAGTCCTGACTGTCACTGTCAAGGAAGACAAGCTCATCCTCATGGGTAACTTCAAGACAAGAGTTGGGCAAAACTCTGGACTCTGGAGTGGCACCATTTGGAAAGAGGGGGTGGGGAAAGTCAATTCCAATGGTATCCTCCTCCTCAACGAATGTGCAGAGCATGACTTGCTCATCACGAATACCATCTTCAGACAGAGTGACAAATATAAGATCACTTGGAAACATCCATGCTCCAGTCACTGGCATCTTCTTGACTATATTATTGTTAGATCCCAGGATTCTACTGAGGTCCATATCACCCGAGTCCTGAGAGGTGCAGATGACTGCTGGATGGATCACCATTTAGTCAGATCAATCATAGACATACAGCTTGCACCCCAACACCGTAAACAACCGAAAGGAACACAAAAGAGATTTAAAATCAAGGCACTCCAAGACCAAGCTAGATGTGATGATCTTCAGCAATGCCTTACTGAGAGGCTCTCTGAACTACCTGATGACATCAAGGGCATCCAGGCACATTGGGAGAACTTAAGAACATTATTCAAAAGGCACATGCTGAATCAATTAAATATTACCCTTATTGTCACCATGATTGGTTTGATGAGAACAATGAGGAAATCCTAGCACTTATCCATCAGAAGAGAGCCATGTTTGCAGTTAGCAAAATGAACCCTCCAACCAGCAAAAACAAGAGGCTTACCAGCAGCTCAAAGCTGTAGTTCAGAGGAGGCAATGGAACATCAAGAACCAGTGGTGGCAAGCAAAGGCCATGAAGATCAGGTTTTGATGACCAACATGACATGAGAACCTTCTTTCAAGCAATAAAATCCATCCATGGGCCATGGTGTGCCATCACTCAGACCAGGAACAATAACGCACCAGGACCAGATGGCATCCCCACAGACATCTTCAAAGCTGTGGAACAGCACTAGTGCAAAAACTTCACCAACTTCTCATCAAAATATGGGTTAACGAAGAAGTTCCACCTGACTTAAAGAATGCCAACATTGGGACCATCTTCAAGAAAGGGGACAAGTTAGTGTGGGAACTACTGAGGCATTGCCCTCCTCTCCATTGCCAGGAAGATTCTTAGTCACATCCTTCTGAGTCATCTCCTCCCCCTTGCCAAAGATGTCCTTCCAGAATCCCAGTGTGGCTTTAGACCATCTCACGGTACCACCAGGGTACACTGTTTGTTGCACAACAGATCCAGGAGAAGTGTAGCAAGCACGCCAGGAGCTGTTTATGGCATTCATTGACAAAACCAAGGCCTTTGACTCCATCAATCATAAAGCCTTATGGAAGGTGCTGCCTAGGTTTCATTGTCCCCTGAAGTTCATCATTGTCCTCAGGCTACTCCATGATGGGATGACCACCACAGTGCTTTGCAATGGATCAGAGGCAGACACATTTACCATTTGTACCAATATCAAGCAGGGCTGCATTATCATCCCAACCCTTTTTTCCATCTATCTTGCTGTGATTTTGATCCTCATCCATTACCGCCTTCAGAATCCTCTCAGAATCGGGGTTGAGTATCAAATGGACAGTCAGCTTTTCAACCTGCCACACTTTCACACCAAAACAAAAGTTACCAAGACTGGCATCACCAACCTTCAGTTCGCTGGTGACTGTGTTATCCTTGTGTACACTGAGACCAATCTGCAGTTCACCTTTGATCTTTTCTCAGATGCGTCACAGCCTGGAACTCTCCCTTAACATTGGGAAGACCAATGTGCTCCATCAGCCTGCCCCAACACAAGCTACTCCCCTTCTCTCACAAATTACCATTTGGTGGAGAACCCCTGGAAAATATCAGGCATTTCCTATACCTTGGCAGTCACTTCTCCCAGTCAGTCAGTCTTGATATAGACATTGAACATATGATTCACTGTGCCAGTATATCCTTTGGAAAGCTGTTTCACTGTTTCTTTGCTAACAGAGATCTGAAGATGGGAACTAAGATCCTGGTCTACAATGCAGTGGTTACCCTCCACACTCCTCTGTGGGTGTGAGATGTGGGTGACATATCAAATCCATCTTAAGCACCTGGAATAGTTCCATCAGCATTGCCTCAGGAAGATCCTTGGCATTAGATGGGAAGGACCACTGCACTAATGCCAGCATCCTTTCTGCAGCTCACATATGCAGCATTGAGGCAAAGATAATGAAATATCAACTCTGCTGGGCTGGCCACTTTGTGCGGATGGCTGACACTCATCTCCCGAAGCAAGTCCTCTTCTCTCAATGTAGTCATGGATCAAGGAATAGGAATCACGGGAAGTCACAAACAAGTTCCTTGTGACAAATCCCATTCATCAACCTATTGGCTTTGAACTATCATGGTTAGAGTGGTCCCTGCTAAACAGATTCAGGACAGGTCAAGGCCCCTGAGCAACCAGCCTTCACCACTGGGGCCTCAGTGCTAACCCTTTGTGCACTTGTGGAGAGATGCAAACAGTGTTGCAGATCACCGAGGAGTGTCCCCTCTACAAATTAAGAGGTGGATTAATAACTTTGAACTCAGCTAACAAGGAGTCTATTACTTGTCTGTGCAGATTTGCATTCTCTAAATAAATAAATAAATGTAGTCATGGTAAGAGGACCTGTGGAGGACAGAGGAAGTGCTACAAGGACACCCTGAAAGCATACCTTAAGAAGGATAGCATCAACCCTACAAACTGGGAAGTGCTGGCTGGTAATAGGTCTCAATGGCACTGCAACATACATCAAGCTACAGCCCACTTTGAAGAAAACTGTGGAAAAACTTGCAGAGCGTGGATTGGATTCCTCAGCTACCCTAAAACTCACCAGTAATCTATACCCCCAGCAGACATCATCCTAGTATTGTGGGATAGCCGGTGATGAATACAGCATAATGCATATCAGAATCTTTCAGTTTCCACCCCACAAAAATGCAACTTTCCCTCTTACAAATGTACAAGGAGCCTCACAAATATATCTTTGTTTTGTGTTTGTTTTTAATGTCTGTTGGTTCCATCCTCCCCTCCCTCCCTTATTTTTAAAATGTATTTATCTGTTCTCATGCTTTAAAACATTTGACCTTTGCCTGCAATAACAGATAAAAAACTGAGTTGCACAGGCTTGTTGAACCCTTTGTGTGGGCAATTCTTCACTGGTAGTAAATTGGAAGTAAAAACCTTACCATTTTGGTCTGATATCACTGTTTTTTCACTCTGAAGGTATAAATGGCATTGCAGAATCAGGCCTGTAGGTTTACGTTTGGATAAGGCCCATATGCTGGAGACAGATCATGGCTTTGAACTGTGGTAGGCTCATATATTTATGAGACCACAACATATTTCAGTTCCTGTGCTTGGGTCCACTGAAGCTTTCTTTTTGTGGGGTAAAATCTTGCTCACCATTTTTTGTGGCCATTTATAAACGTAATATTAGCCCCATGATAGAGTCAGGACCCTGAGGGAAGGGGAGGACGATGAGGTGAGGCTAGTTCCCAAAACAGGCAGGTTTTTCACAAATGATAGTGTTTGTGGTGGCTGCTGTCCAACCAAAATAAGCCTTTAATCCCCTTGGAAGAAACCCCTGCGTCTGACACTGAGCAGTGAGTCATCTCCATTAATACTTGAGTTAAGTCAGTGTTTTGGGTTTTAAAATTTCAGCATGCCTGACTCAGTAAAAGGTAATTCAGACAGCTGGAATCTGTCTGGTCAGAAATCCCTAACCAGCTTTCTGACATTTTAAAAAAACCCACCAGCTTGCCCCTATTAGCACTAAGCCTCGTTTGAGTCAGAATCAGTCTCTTCAGGTATCATCTCTGCCCTCCCTCTCAGACACGCTTCTCAATATTTTTCATTTTTTAGCAGGGTGATGAAAACAATGATTTTTTGTTTAAGAAGGAAAAAGCTCAGATGCCATACACAGCACTTGCTTTTGTAATGTTGTTCATTTGTTATAGAAAAGACAGTTACAGGGAAGATGCTGGGCCAAATAAACTCCTCAGTGGACTAAGCTTAGCCTTGGTGTAATAGATGTATGCGTACTTGCCTACTTCAGGGCAAATTGGGACTGCATGGGCTAATGACTGGAGAACTGGAAATCCGAAGAGCTGGGTTCTGCTGCTGGCTCTGTTGCTGACTTGCTGTGTAAATTTGTAAATTAGCCCAGTCACTTTGCCTCTCTCTGGGTATGTTTACACATGCACATTAAATGTGCATTAAAGCATCACAGAAAACTGTGCTCTTCAGCTAATGTGTATTAAAATAGGCTAATGGGCATTTTTCTAGTACCTCACAATGGAGGTACTAGATTTAATGTGTATTAGCCTATTTTAATGTGCATTCATGAACATGTAGACTTAGTCACGCCCTGTATCTCTTTTCCCTCCTACCCCTTCCCTTGGCTTGGCTTTGTTATTCAAATTGTAGGGTAGGAGTTGTTTTCTACTAAGTGTTTGGATAGGGCAACTGCAAAAACAATTTCTAGGGTGCCTAATAAACCCTTGGCATGGATTGTGTAGCTCATGACACTGGGTCTGGGTCTGACAATTTGATGGCCACAGCGTGCTCACAGTAATTTGGGAGTAACAGTTATCTGGATCTTAACTTCCTTCTGGAATTCTCCAGATTTCTTAGTGACCTAACTTGCCCTCCTGGATGAAAAGGACTGGGTGCTGAGTTCATTGGCAGTGTTCATGCAGCAGCTGAAGAATGGGGTAGGTCATGTTACTCAACAGGAGCCATCTTTCATGCCATGATTCTGTTCTACGATGATTCTGTTCTGCCCGCACATTCAAAAAGATCCCTCTGACTGTGGGATCACAAATACCAGCTTAGAGATAGTCTGTACATTATTAGCTCCCCTGATGGGAACAAGAAGTTCCTGGTTGCTAGATCTTCAGTGCCTAGTGTTTCTAGAGCTCTGAACAACCAGAATACTTGATTGATAGGGAGTTTATAAACCTAAAGGAAGGAGATTTAAAGGTAGAAGACTAAACTTGGAAGAAATAAGAATAGTGTCTTTAAATCCTGCATTACTTTAGAAAAAAAAGAGTTGCGACTGCATGATGCATTTGTCATCCCTTTCTAGTTCTGTTGGATAAACCCCCCCTTTGAGGACAGCATTGAAGTGAACTGTGTGATGTCAGGCTGATGAAACACCCATGTATTCTAACACCTGCAGCATGTTGTGGCAATGTAACCTTGCACTGCAATAAGATAATGTCAGTAATGATGCTGAGATGTGGTGGGTTAATTCCTGGGGTGATGCTTCAATGATATTACACCAGGAATAGTTTTACCAGTGAGTGTGTCTACATGTGCTATTGTTATGGCTAAATAAACTCCAGCACAGTTCAAGTTGGTGTTTATTGCTACTGGGCACACTGTTTGCATGGGCACCCAGGACTGCAGCATGTTGAGCTGGGGTGTGGTAGCCCTGGAGCAGAGCAGCCCTGGCTGGTAGGGCCCTTGGGGGGTCAGCCTACCAGTCCAGGGCTGCTCTGACCCAGATCTGTGTGCTGTGGAGGGGCTGGCTGTGGCATGAAAGTGCTTCAGTGTGGGGCTAGCTGTCAGGAAGCCAAACCCATTAGCATCTACGTGTGCATTACAGTGGAGTAAATAACTCTGCTATAGGATAGTACTTCTGTCGGGCAGCACAATCCTACAGCGAAGTTAATTAGTTTCTCCGTCCTAATAGCACTGCATGTGTAGATGGTGCTGTTTTACTGCAGAGCTAATTTTTCAGCCAAAGCTGTCTATCCAAATTTAATCTGAATTCACATACAGTTTCAGACTCCCCAGAACTGAATTTCAATGAATGTTTTGCTAAAAAAATGACATGGCTCTAACTGAATGTGAAAAAGTTTCCAAGACTTTTCAACCAAAGAGGACAGAGGACTGAAATTATAATATTTCTTCACTGCAAAAATACCTCAAACTTAAGCTGTGACAACACACCTTTGCACCTGTTGGGACCCTAATGTATTTGAATTATGTGTACTTGATGATGAAAGAATGGTATGATGATATGGCCATGAAAAATAGATTTCATTTAAAAAAAGAAGACTTGAGTACTTAAAAATAAGAGAGTTTTACAGTTTGTAGCCATATGTTTACAACGTTTAATGTTCCTTTTGGATTTTTTTTTATGCTACAACATTGTTTAGATAATAACTGATTTGGCTTTCATTTTACCTAATGAACTAGATAGTTGTCTAAAAATGAATTAAAGCCCCCACATACCCAGTGAAATAATTAGACAGCTTCAGAAGAGTTTGAAGCCTGTTGACATTAACTTCAAAAAGAGAAAGAAACCAGAACTGCATTGCAGCTGTGAAATTTGGCTCTGGGCTGAATTTTTCTTTCTTTTAGTGATGTGTTCAGGCCAATATGTTTTATTTGTTCTACCTTTTGATTATAGATCAGGGTGTTTTTCAACTATTTAAAACTTAGAACTTTGTTCACATTTGCTTTTAGTAGGTAGATCCCAGGATAATGAAATATACTGTGGTGTGCAGGGTATTTTATTTATAGGACATACAGGGATGAGAAGTCGATAGTAGACATGGTATGCCTGTATATAGGTTATATATATATAGGCATGCTATATATGAAATTATGGCAAATTGTGTCTTCCAACCAAGCCACTTCACTGAAAGCCAAACTATGCTCCTTATTCAGATTAAAGCCTCATTCACTGATATCTCTTCAGAAGGGACTGTAGGAATGGACCTATAGCTAAGAATAATCACTACATATTTCCAGACACACTAGTTATTCTGTTTATGTTGCTTAGTTAAAGTGTCTGGCTGATGGTCTCCTTTTTTTTGGCAGGCTTTGTATGATAATGTTCCAGTGGATGATATTCACAGACTCACGGCCATTGACAAGTGGTTCCTCTATAAGATGCGTGATATTTTGAACATGGAGAAGAACCTGAAGGAATTCAGCAGGTAAGGATGCAGCTTTTCCTCTTGGAATCTTTGTATTGGTAGTCAGTTGCAGGCCATGTACACAAATGTGATCTCTGCTGAAAAGTGTACATTGGTCCTCAGTGCAGCCTGAATTACCTTAAACCTGGTGCAGTAAGAGTCTGCCTATACAGCGGAAGTGCTCTCTAAGAATAATCCTCTGTGCTTACATAGAAAAATGCTTCTCTAGGTGTAAATGAATTTTGACTGTCTTGGCTTATCTTAAGGATTCTGGAAATACCAACTGGATTTTGAAAGTCCTTGATGTAGTTTCAAAGCTAGATTTGCCTGACACATAACTACAGGCTGCGTTTGCATTGCTAGAACATGTCGACTTTATAGCCCTAAGTCTCTCAATAGCTTCTTCTTAACTTTTCCACCCAAGAGTCAGACAAAGTGCATTTTAAACCTGGATGATTGCTTTTTAAACTGTTTGCTTTGCTGCAAACGTGCAGTGTGTGATGCTTTCCCATCTCACTTTAGAACAGCTGTGTTTTCAGACATATTTAAATATAAATCTTCTGCTTTAAAAAAAAAGGCTGTATAAAAGGGACCTCAATAGATGGCAGAAAATTGAAGCACTCAGCTATATATCAGCCCTAGCCTTTGCTGACTAGAGCTTTCCTTTCATGGTTTACGAGGCCAACAGAACCTCCTTGCTGAATTATTGGCTGCTCCATTGCCTCCTTTTCTCTTGCATTTTGAATGCTTGTTGAACTACTACTATTGAACCACGTGAGGGCGCTGGAAACTCATGGTATGTGGTACATCATGTATAGAGAGACTCAGTAGAAATGTACAAGATATTACTTGTGAAAGATGCTTTCATCTGCTCTAAGGTCTGTTTCTTTGACAAGCTGTGCATTTTTAATTGAGCAGCTTTTGTTTCCCTGAGTTAAGTGAGATGGGATTGTAGCTGAGCAAAAATAAGAAGTATAGAAAAATGACAAAGAGAGGAAGATGCCTGGTCATCCATTATTTTTCAGTTCATGTAATTACTCTCTAACTCCCATGTCATGTACTTTTTTTTCTTGAGGTTCTTTTAAAAAGGTATAATCTATATAAAGGACTGTTTGTACAGAACTAATGTATTTATCCATTGTTCTGTAGGGTACAATTGCAATTAGACTACTCTGGAATGAATGCCTCTAAGATTTCAAAGCTCTCTGCAAGTGCTGGTCATCCTCACTTGGTGTAACCGGCATCACTTGGCTGAAGTTAATGGAGCTGTACTGATTTATGGCCAGAACTTGAGCTTTTTTACCAATGAATTAACAGTTCTTTAAGTACCAGTGCTTCTGCGATAGGCATTTGAATTATTACACCCCTCACAAAGATGAGTTAGTTGAGGCATGGTGCTAAACGATTTTTTCCCAAGGTAAGTAGTGGTAGAACTGAAAAGAAAACCCTACATTTCTGACTGGCAGTCCACCATCACCACTCTGAGCCATTATTGGCTGAGAGCAGGCTCGGCTATTATGTGTAGACAAAAGTTATCCTCCTGGGACTTTTTTATATGTCTTTACAGGAGCTGATTGTTTTATTTTTCATTCTGATATAAGACTCATTGAGCATCAAAAATCAGCCATCAAAAATGATGGCAGCCCAGGAACACGAACTCAGAGGTTATCCGAAGAGCCATTTCATTAACAAGTCCATTCTTTATACAGATTTATCTGTATCAACAATCTGAGGACATACAATGCATATCAGCTGAGGCGAACCCAGTGTAAGTGGGTAAAAACAGCTTAATGACATGTTTGTGCTTCCTTAGACCAACCACAGACTGCCTGAGTCTTCCTGTTCCCCACAGCAAGTTAGAACAGTTCTGGTGCTGTTTTGACTCATGGTGACTGTATGTGCCCAAGTCAGCCAATGATTGCCAGAGCAGAGCAAAAATCTGGCCATGTCCTCTCTTCCTCAACCCTGACCTCTCCCCACCTTGCCAAGCCAAGCTCTCTACATCAGGGCCTGGAAGGGAGAAGGCAGTATAGAGCCACTATCCAAATGTGCTGGGAAATCCCATGCTCTACAAATCAGATGCACTGGCTGTGGAGCTGGCATTGCATTTACATATGTCCTCACACCCTTACATGCTGTAGATGTAAAGGGAAGATACAGCAGAAAGAATGGTGAAAGGATGCATTTTGACATGCTAGGTGTGGCAAAATACTGAGCATGGTGGGTCTGTGGGACCAGGAAGGATAGAAGCAAGAAACCTTCTTCCTTGTTGGGCTGATATAGACCTGAATCCCATGAATCTGGAAACTGTAAACAATGACAGAGTGGCAGGGAAAAGGATGTAGCTGGTTTCCTGCATGTTGTTCCATTGTGCTGCCCAGCAGCACTCTCTGTTTCAGCACTCAGCATGCAAACCTGTGCAACCTCTGTGTGCAGAGGAGCAGCATTCATCACTGAATCAATATCAAGGCAGCCAGGGGCTAGCTAGCCTCAGCTGTTTTATACAGGTCTATAGGTGATCTACTTTTGTGTGTCTGTTACATTTGCCAGGTGCCCATCACCAAGCTACAGTCTCTAGCTGCACCTTTCCTTTCCCATATTTCTTATACCGGGTTTGGCTTGAGAAGTATTCAAATCAAAGTGGATGGTCCAGAGCATAAGCTTGTATTTTTATTTACCATAAAAGGGAAGCAATAACTCAATTATAAATTGAGAAGTACAGTTTAAAACAATGTTATGATTGTCATTGGGTCAGATCACCTGCTGGTGTAAATCAGTGTAACCTCTCCAGCATCAGTGAATTGGATTTTCACCAGTTAAGAATCAGGGACTGTCCATATGTGCCCAATCAGGACATCTCAAATAACCAGTTATCCAGCTGCATGAGCATGCAGGTTGGGAAGGCAGGAGAGTGAAGCTATAGGAAGCAATGTGAAGAAAAGAACTACTCAGCTGGATTATGAGGAAAACATTGGCACAAGTACCAACAGCTTGTGTAAGGTATTATGACCTGAACTAAAGAGACTAGGCTAGTGAGTCATGTCAGGCAACACATCTGCACTATAGCCAAAGGAAAGTTAATTGAGTGATGCAAATGGGACTTGGCTCATGTGTACTGTCCCTGCAGCCAGCTATTCTCAGTCACCAGCACCTCCAGTTTTACCCTTACCTGTGCTGTGGGATTATTTCCAATTGAAAATAATGTGCTGTGACATGGTCATCATGTTAAACCTTCCTGTCGTTTAAATGCACTAGCTGTAACCAAAAGCAACTGTCCGGCTACCAGGCAGCTTTGCTAGCTATAAGCCTATTTATTCCAGTTTTTATTATTGTTCATATGCCAGCAGTGCATAGAGGCCTTCAATTAGTGGTCAGGTAGTGACAACATAACAGTTAGCTGGTTCCTGCTGCAGAGAGCTTACAATCAGATTATTCGGCAGGCAAGAAACCTCAGGAGAGCACAAGCAGTAGATGGGGGAGCACAAGGGAACAGTAAAACTATAGTGATTAGTTCAGTAAGCAGCAGTCACAGATTTCCTGCAAGCCCTAGACACTGGTTAATCATCACGGCATAGATGGATTATAAAGATAAATTTAGGGGGTAACATAGCAGCTTTGTGGATTTAGACAGGAGACTCTTTCCATGCATGAAAGTTAGCATGGAAGATGATATTATGGGGAAAATGGTTCTAATTTGTAAACAACTTTCCCCCCATATATACACCTCACCAACTTTATGTAGAGAGAAGAGACATTGAAAAAAGAAATTTACTTAGCTTCTAAAATCTTGGTATAGGATATCTGCCTGATCACTCACAACTTTTATTCCTTTTTATGCAGCACTTCATTGGAGGCAAATGTAGATTTACATTATGCCCATGCATGTGATGCTTTATGATTTCCATGGTGCTGGCTAGCTGATGCTGCCAATGCATTCTGCTTTAAATTTGCTTTCTGCCTTGTGATGTGAAGTTAAGTTGCTTCAGGTGATACAGTCCATCTCCAGGTGAACAATGGGAACTCATCTAATTTTTAAAATGATCATTTTAGCATGGCTTACAAGAGGGTTGTGTGCCCAAGGATACTAGCAAAGACTCCTGAGCATTAAAGATATCCCTCTAATTTTGTAGATACTCATGGCCTCTTCAGTAGGTAGTTACATTCTCTTTGTTAATTGTATTCTTGTGGCTGGACCAAGTAATCAGCAAGAGCAACCTTCATAGCATTCTAGATAAGTGTGAATTCATTTTTACAGAGCGGTGAATACAGCTGTGAGTGGTAGTGCAATAAAAGGCACAGACAGAAGTGCAGGTCTCGACGTTAACTCATGGCACTTCGTAGAAAGTGTCATAAGTGAGAACAATCCTCCTGACCCAAAAGATGTTTGCTGTTTGATCGGGAGGGTAGGTGATTAAGCTACACTTTGGAGCCGATTCAGGGAGAGAGGCAGTTTCTTCCCCGGCTCTGCCCCCCTTTCCCAGCTCCCATTTTGTCTCAGGATGGGAGGAGGAGAAGACATGGGAAGGAGGTCAGTTCTGGGGTTGCCCCGGCCACCTTGGGGGGGCTCCAATCCACCCACCCTACCCTTGAGCACCAGTTGGGCAACCCCCAGAACAAGCTCCGTCCATCCCTTCCGCCCCTCCCATTCTGAAAACAGTGGGGGGAGAGGGGCTGAGCTGCATCAGCTGAGCCTGGCTCCTGGTGTGCATAGATGCAAGTTAATGAAGGTGCTGTGCCTTGGAGTGTCTTTATCTGAACACTTATTTAATGAGGGTTCAGATTGTCACAGGATTGGGCCCTTTTAAAGTGCTCTGCAGCTGTGCGCTTGTGTTTGGTCACATCTGTAGAGTGCTTTCAGGGGCCAGATTGGATGAAAATTGTCACTTCTGTCTGCGCCTAATGCACTGTAAGATAGATAAAACAGTTCAACCTCAAACTCAAACTTTTAGTCCTAGGGAAGAAGGAAGGGAAAGGGACTTGCAGTGACATCTTTGGCCATTTCATGGTATTGAGAAACCCTG